AATGAGTGTTCACACTTGATATTAACTACTTGTGCAAACCCAGAAGGAGCACTAACAATGGAAACATTGGTAATTACCCAGTGGATGGCCCAGGGAGAGGAGCAGTGGTCCAGGAGGGAGGTCACATTTAAAGGAAATTGATTGAGTGTTGATAGAATCAACAGTTTGAACTTGCTGTAATGGTTTTATTTGGATAAAATGTAAATAAATTTGGTAAGCAGCAAGTTACATGTAGAGTTTAGAATTTATCTCTATTCAATTGGACTGTCCTAATAAAACAGAGAATATTATATTAATAGAATTTTCTTTTTAGAATTTGCAATAAGAGGATAGCAACTTTTCTTGGACAGCTTCTCCACAACCCTACTTAGTGGCAACTATGACTTAGAGACCTCAGGAAGATCTAAATCTGTGATGGCTAATTTTATGCATCAAGTTGACTGGGGCCACTGTGGCCTGAGATTTTGTCAAACATTATGGTGAACGTTTCTGTGAGAGCATTCTTGAATAAGATTAACATTTAGATCAGTGGACTTTGAGTAAAGCAGTTTGCCCTTTCTGATGTGGGAGAACCTCATCCACTCAGTTGAAGGCCTGGCAGATCAGAACACAATAAATTGACCTTGTGCAGAACACAATAGATTGACCTTGTGCAGCAGAAGCAAATTCTATCAACAGATAGCCTCTAGCCCTGATCTGCCACATGGGCTCTTCCCTGGGTCTCCAGGCTGTTGACCCACTCTATAGATTTTGGACTTGTTGCAATTGCATGAGCCAGTTTCTTAAAATAAACATAAATCTCTCTCTATATATGTGTGTGTATATCCTATTGGATCTTACTGGTTATATTTCTCTGGAGAATACTGAATAATTCAGAGTCCATCACAAAAATAGAGAAAACGTTTTAGGAGCTCATCAACCATTGAAACAAACAGGGGAGAAAAAGGGAAAGAAAGAAGCCAATTTTTTTTTGGCTTCTATACATATGTTTATTAGGTTTCCACTTTTTACGTTCACAAAATTAAAAAGGCTTAAAATTTAATAATAATAACAATGTTTAAGGTAAGGACTAGAAACAAAAACCTCGTAAAGAACGAATGAAGATAAATACATTCGGAAAAGAAATCAGACAATTGCTGCATTGAAATATTAAGCAATAATAATAATGCAAAGAAAGTAACATTCACATTGTCAAATAAGAGTATGTCTATTATAGAATGCTTTGACTCTGAGATCCAGTATGGAGTCATCAGTTAACTTCTCTTATTTTTCTCTTATTTTTTATTTCCAAAGTCTCAAAAAATAGACAACTAATATTTGTAAATAAAGTAAAAGATAGGCAATTTTTTTTTTTTTACAAGGGGATACTTGAATAAAGCATTGCATACTACATAGCATTAGAAAGTCTTTTGCCCAAATATAAGAACAAAGGCAGGGAACCTTAGCTTCGCACCTTCACATCAAAAGTAGCTGCATCACTGTAGATTGTCCTTGACCTCTTCTGAACTTTTGGGAGCAGCCACCAGTCGATTCTTTTGCACATTCTTCTTTAACTTGAACTTTGAATTTTTCCCTTCAACTCCTTCCTCTTCTCCCTCTCATTTGGGAGATAAGTTTGCCTCTCATATTACCTGGAGCAGTGCTTCTCAAACTTGAATGTGTCTAGGAACCTTCTGTTCTCTCCTTAGAATGCTGAATCCTGAATCAGTAGATATAGGCAGGGCCTGAGTATCTGCATTTCTGGCAAGCTCCCAGGTCATGCTGAGGCAGCGGGTCCTTGGTCCATAAGCCAGGCTCTTGATCTGTCCATCCCAAACTTTTTGCATCTCCTGGGGAACTTGTTAGACATGCAGAAGCTCAGGCCCCAGCTGACTTACTGAATCCAAATCCATGCACTCACAAATGCACAGGTGCGAGTGTGCACCTGCAGATAGAGGAGCAGCTCTCTAGCACATCTGTCTTCTCTAGGCCTGCACCCTCTGCTCTTTCATGTAGACTCAAGCTCTTCCTCTCTACTCCTTACCCTTGCCCTATGCACTTGGTTACCTCTCTCGTTTTACATAATAACTCACTTCCCTCCCCCCTGCCAGAGGCCCCCAGCCCAAACCTGAGTGTTTCAAACTCACTGCCTCCTCACCCTCACTACCTGCCACCATCTTTACTGTTCTCCATCATGTTCTCTGTATGTGTGTGCACATGGAGAAAAAAAATCTATTATAGTAATTTTAATTGAAAACAACCAATAACATTTAACTTATTAAATATAACTATTCTCAATAGTTTTGGATCAATTGAAAACTCTGTAAAAGGCATATCAGTAACTAGATGGTTTAATACTGAATGATTAACTTATTCTGGTAGGATGATATGGAACTCTGCCTCTCCTCCTGGAAAAAGAGGCCAGGATTTACCTAAACTTCCTACCCACCCCCTTCATTCCATCTTTTAACCCCCCTCAGTGACTGCTCCTCACACTCAAGTGAAGTCTAGACTCTTCACCTGGGCAGCAGGGCCTCCCACTCCAGCCTTCTCTGGGTTCCCGCTTGCCCTTTGCAATATGGCAGACTACTCAGGGCCTCTGGACTACAGTCATAGCTCTGGGCCAGTAGGCCCCGGCCTTATCTCATGTGCCTGTTCCTCTTCACCTGGTTGACTGTAGGCATCCCTGAGCACTCAGCTCATGCACCTCTTCTTCTAGGAAGTTGACCCCTTATAGCACCCAAGGCTTTCCCTGAATGTCATCATACAGCTTGTATCCAGTGCACAGCAGTGGGGCTTGTTGAGGGAAAGAAGAAAGACAGAGGAGGGGGATCCCCCGCTCCGATCCACTTAATTATTTAAAGGGGTTGCCTTGGGCATCCAAATTTCAAAATCAGGAATAATGCTATACAGCTCACACTAAAATGGATCCAGACAAAAATGCATTTTGAAGCAGAAATAAAAGACTATAAAAAGAATAAAGATCAGAATAGTAATAAGACAGAAGAGTAATACCTTAGATTTGTGTGGCTTTGGAGTTTGTAAATTGTTAGAATTATTAATACACTTTACAGCCTGGTGAGGTAGGAACTAGTGTACTCATTGTAAGGGAAGGATACTAGAGATCAGAGAAGGACCTGCTCTGCCTGAAGGGCCTCCAGGTGGAAAGTGACAGAGAAAGCCCCGGCTCTGGATTCAGTGCCTCCCTCACCATTTCACAGTTTGCCTAAGATGACACAAACCCTAAGATATTAATAAGAATTCACTTTAAAAATTCTATATGCTTACTGCTCTATTTTAAAAATAATTTCCCTTAAGTTATGTTATGTGAATTAGTTTTACCATTCTAGGCAGTACTCTGTTATTGGGTGCTACTTTCTAAATATGGATGCCACTACTAAATCCTAATTTAGATGTGTTCCTTTTAGTGACATCTGTGCCTTCTGACGTGGCCCACCCTTCATTGCTTCCAAATTTGAGAGTCTAAAATGCACTCTATTCATTCCATCATATGGACAGGACTCTGCCTTAGAAAATTCTACTTTAGCTCTTCATTGTTAAGAATGCTTCCCTTGATGCTCTTCTGTCTCCTTTGATTAACTTCTCCCTACTTATACTTCACTGTTCACCTAAGGCCCTAAATTAGAATAACCCCTTCCAGGGGAAGGAACTATTGTAAATTGCTTTTTAAACATGTTGCCTAGGTCGTCAAGGTGTAATTCCACCCACTGGGTAATAGCAGTGTTCCACCCAGAAGGCACTCAGTAGTTACCAGCCACCTACTCTGTATCAAATTACCAGGCAGTTGTCAATATTTGAAGGTAAAAGACAGTCATCAGCCTAGAAAACTCTTACAGGGGGTGAAAGACACAGTTTAGTCAGTGGGGTAAAAGAACAAAACTGACAACCTCAGAAGCCTGTGGTTGGTGCCAGGCGCACAGGCTGGTGAGGAGGTGTCCCAACCCCCCTGCCCTTCCCTGTGTCTGATCAGCCTCTGCTCCCTCTCCTAACTCCTGAGCCAAGATGACCCTTTTTATAGTATATAACCAGCCCAGAGACTCATTCTAGGTACTTACACCACATTACTTGTGCTTTTTGTCCTCTTGCTTGGTTCCTATTTAATGCAAAGATTCACGTCTAAAGGTGGAAAGGTGCCACAAAGAAGCAGGCCAAGCAGAGCTCCTTGCAGAGATGTAATAAGAGCATCTGCAAACAGATGGGCTGCCACCAAAAACGGAAAGTGGTGACACCCTGAGTCGGGGTAAGGGAGTTCCCATTTGTGGGGTTGAATGTCCTCCTGCCACTCAGGAGGTGATGTGTGTGCAACTGAGGAGGTGGTGGGAAGTCAGCCATAACTCAGTAAGGGGGGTGTGGTGTCAAGGACCAAAGGCCGTGCTGGAGGCCTTGTAAAAGTTCCGAGGGTCATCTGCAGTAAATCCTCAGCAATCTGAAAGGAAGTTTCACAGAACCAGAAACACTGCCAGTCCTCTTCTTTGCTTAATGCATGTCCAGACCACTCAGAGCCAGAGAAAACTAACAAGTCCTACTCTATTCTTTACTTAATGAGTATTTACTTAATAAATGTTCAGTCCCCCGAGGTAGAGACTTGATGAATGTTTATTCTCAGAGGTAGAGAAAAACTAACAACAACATTGCCCACATTTGCTCAAGCTGAAAGTTGTGAATGATGAAGGTTTGCAAAAGAAATCTGACACTACTACTTTCTCTTCGATCTTTCCCTTTTTACTCCTCTTCCGAAATATACACCAATGGTCAGCAGAGCTCACTGGCAGAACTACACAAATACGCAAAAGTAAGGAATCCATGCCATCAGAAACACATCTATTTGCCTTCTGCCCATCCCACCCGCCCCCCCCAGGATAAGCCCCGAGAGCCGTGGACTCTGGCTGAGCTGGAACCGGACCCGTGTCTCCATGGAGACGCGTCACAAAACTGGCCGGTCGCCTCTAGCCCCACTAAGTTCAGCTCCAACCTGGCCTGGCTAGGGCCTCCGGGGCGGAATGGCACAACCTGCCCCTGGGATTCCTGATCTCTGTCTAAGACAGCACAAGCTGCAGCCAAGTAAGACAGGGGAGCGGGGCTGGGATCTCCCCTGGGGAAGGGGAGCTGCTGGCAAAGGGGCTTTGGTCTTTAAAGTGTCGCCTCCCTGCTAGGCTCAGCTGAGAACAGGGACGGAGAGTCAGGCAGAATGACAGTTGCTCCTGACCTCATACTCACTGCCAACAACCCTCCTCCCCCCACAATTCCCCCCCCCCCCCCCCAAAAGCACCCTGCCAGGTGCTTTAAATACTGCAGGACTTGCCTGGCTAGGAGCGGACAGGAGAAAGGAAGGACGGTGCAGTTCTAAAAGAGAACAGGGCCAAAGGCAAAGAAGGAACAGAGATGTCAGCAAAAGGCTGAATAAAACAGGCCCAGCGTGGGTCCAGACCCCCATGCAGGACCTGGAAACCGCAACGGAGGGTGTGGGGTGGGGGGGAGGGGCGCTCAATGCAGACTCAGGTCTGCGGAGGAAGGAGGGACCCTGCTGTTGGCTGCAGCAGGCATTCAGCAGCACTGGCATTCAGCTGCTGCTTCTGACCTGGGCTGATTTTTCTTTCAAAGAGATTTCCTGTGTAACAGCTGAGCGCCCTCCACACTAGTTCTAGTTCTGCTTGAGGATGCAGCAGGCCCGCCAGCTCGGCTTTTGCTGGAGCTGTGCTGCTAGTGGCTGATTATTGTGCAGTCAGCCCCACCCGGCCTTTCTCTCCTCCCGTTGCCGCCTTCTAGCTGGGAAACTGTGGCTCCCCTGGTCGCTGCGGAGCAGCGAGGAATTGTTGAAGTACAAATTCCCCAGAACTGTGTTCCCACAAGAATGAATGAAATGTGTATTTTCTTTCCAATTTATTCCTTTGTAATTTATGACTAGAAAATGAAAATACTTAATTAGCATAAAATTCCAAATATATTCTGTTTCTTTATGATGGCAGGGGCAGCGGGAGAGTCGGTGGAGGGAGAAACTTCTCCCCAGGACCCTCCAGCTCTTCTTTTGATTTTCTTCTTCCCTTTGTAACACCCACCCCCATCTTGGTGTCTGTCTGTTTCCTGTTCCCCTCCTTGTTTGGGAAAGGTGGAGTCCTCCCAGGTTTACCTTTGGGGACTTATACCCTTGATGTGAGTGATCACCCCTTGCCACAGGGCTTCAGGAGCTGGATGACTCTCTACTCTCTAAGTAGGATCTTCCTCCTCATTTTTGGACAAGAATACTCACCTGTCTATCAGACAGTTCCCTTTGGATGTCACAGCAGGGCTTCCGACTGAAATTACACTCCTTGTCTTCCTTAAACCTTGCAGACTTTGAGAGCTCAGTTAGGAGGGTCCCCTCAGCTCAGATCAGAAGGGAACCTCCTTGAGACTGCATTTTGATCACCAGATCTCTTTGATTCTGCCTCCAAAGTTCTGTTCCCTCTGAGTGAGTTTGACTCCTCCCCTCCAGACTCCAGTCTGTATTAGCCACCTGAGCTAGTCCCTCATCCACTGCTGCTGGGTCACCCTCCAAAAGGTAGGCTGGATGTGTCACTGTGCAGCTTTGGTCTGAGGGTGGGATGGGCTGACATTGACTCACTGCCGTGGAATGATGACTACAGACTGGGCTCTTGAGTTCTGTGTGAGTTTCCGGAGGCTGCTCTTTGTTACCACAAGCTGGTAGCTTCAAGCAACAAAATGTATTTTCTGACAGCTCTGAAGGTCAGGACTCCAAGAATCAAGCTCTGGACAAGACTGCACTCCCTCTGGGGCCCTGGGGGGTGGATCCTTCCTTGCCTCTTTCCGCTTCCTGAGGCCGTCAGCATTACCGACTTTGGGCAGCATCTCTCCAGCCTCTGCCTCCCTCGTAAGCTCGGCTTCCTCTCCTCTATCTGTGTGGACTCCCTCCACCTCTCTCTTCTAAGGACTCTTGCATTTGAATTTTGGGTCCATGAGGATAATCCAGGATGATTTCCTTATCTCAAGATCTTTAACTGCATAAAGACTCCTTTTTCCAAATAAGGTCAGATTCACTGGTTCTGGGTATTAGGACGCAGACATGTGTTAGGGAAACTAGCATTCTACAAGTGCGCTCCTTCAATCCTCAGAACAACACAAGATTAGAATTACTACATACCATTATAGCCTTATCAGATTATTGTGAGAATAAAACAAAATAATGCGTGTGGAAATACTTTGTAAATGTAGTATAATATACACATCAATTATTATTATATGACATTATCAAAGCTTTGTATTATATTTTTATAATCATTCATACGTCCAGTGGGTCACCAAGGTTAGCAGAATAAGGCCACCCTAATGTGTTGCAAGGGACAAAACTCTAGGAAGCAGCCAGGCACATCATCCTTGTCCTGCAGGCTCCAAGAACGGCCACTTAGCAACCGTTGGGCCCAGTTACCTGGGCCCACCCTGTCCTCAGAAGGAGAAGGATCCTAGAGTGGGCCATGGAGCAGTGTCTCTTGCTCGCCCATGGGGTTGGTTGGGAAATGCAGCCTGGAGCGCTGTTCTGGGCCTAGCAGGAGCATGATCTGAGTGAGGTGAGTGTTGTTTGCCTTAGGAGAAGGAGGGCTGAGCGATGTGTGGTCTCCGTGCAGAGCATTCTCCCTGAGCCTTGCAAAGGCCAACTCCAAAGTTAAAGGTGGCTTCTTTTACGAGCAGTATGTCTCACGATTTCTTTCCTTCTTGTCCACACTTCAAATTCTTTTCACAAAGAATATTTAATTCACCCATAAATAAAGTACTTTCAAGCACAGAGTGACTTCTGGTAAAGCAGGAATATCAAAAGATGATGTCATTTGTAGCAGAGTGGATTACAGAGCAGATGCCAGCACTGTGTGAGAGCACAGGTACACTCAGGCTGCAGGTCCCTCCCTGGGGAGGCTTCTAGGCAGAGGTAGAACTTGAACCAGCGTATAGGCTGTGAGCAATAGCCACAGATGAGCAGCTCTTGGCTGGAACAGAGAGCCTGCTAAATTAGAAACAAGGCTTGGTTGGGAGTGAAGAGCAGATGAACATTAAGATGTTCACAGGAGACAAACCATAAACATTTGGTCGGAGCTCTTTGTGGTAGACGGTGGCATTCAGCTTTTAAGAACATTGGATACTGAGGAGAGATATTTTATAGCAATTGTAATAGAATACAAGCAGAGAATGTGTTGGCTACAGCATTCCAAGGATGAGCTGACAGATCCTAGATAGCATTGTTTATCTAAAAAAGTAGAGACATTTCGATCCATGTTCTCCCAGCTGTAATAAAGCAACAGGTAACTGCCAGATGTGAAGACTGAGAGAAAGACTGAATCTGAAATTCAAAATATATGTATCCAAAAAATTTGGTGGTACTTTGTTGGCAACGAGAGATTGGGACAGAAACACTGAGCTGTTGCTAGTGTGTACCTAAGGGTACGTTCTCAGGGTATAGTCCGGACATCCTTCTGGAACTGTTGACAGTGTCTGTTGCAAGTTGTTCTGGGAAACAGCTTCCTTCTGCTTTGGGGAAGACACAGGCTTCTGGTTTTCTCTTCATTTCAGCTCTTCACTTTGTCCCCCTCTCCTCTCCACGCTCTTGACATGAGGGTGCCCCAGGCTGCAGCCTTAGGGACTGCTCCTGCACGTCTGCACCCTCCCTGGTGGGTCCCTCTACCCTCCTAGCTTTAAATAAAGTCTACACTGCAGAATTTTGCACAATCATCACAAAGAATGAATTTGAACTATGCCAGAGGAGCTGGAGGGGTTTTCCCTAAGACACTGTTAGTGACAGATATAAGAAAAGAACACTTGTGTAATACATGACCATTTTGTAAAGCAAAATGGTAAGAAGTAAAACCCAGTATGTCTGTGTGTTTATATGTGTGTATAAATCAACATGTAATCACATCCACGTGTATGCAAGTACAGAAAGAAATGGGAACAACTGCTGACGTGGGCTACCTGGGAGGAGGGACGGAGGTGGGGAGGGTGACAATGGGCCAGGAAAGAAAGATGTGACAGGGTGTCCGAGGTGAAACCTGGCATGTCGATATGATCTCCTGTGTGTGAAATCATTCCATGTATGTAAAGGTATATCTAGTACAATATGAAGGAAGTTGTTCACTAAAACATAATACTGGGTCTTTTTAGATGATAGAATTTCAAATAAACTACTGTATTCTTTATATTTTTATGGCTTGAATTCTTAAAAATAGCATAGATGAATACTCAGGCAAAATGATAGTGCATCCTTTTTATTTGGGGGTGGGAGGGAAGCCCACATAATTAAGTCGAGCTTCTCCTCTTTCCTATTAGAGGCCATAAATCGGCCTTTATTCCTTATCCCAGTGGTTCTCAACCTGTGACCCACAGGAACTGTATTAAAGGGCTGCAGCATTAGGAAGGTTGAGAACCATGGCCTTAGACTCTAAAGCTTGTATTCAAAATGTTTTTTTCTCTTCTGAAATTATTTTAATTTTTAAAACAATGCTTGATCAAATGTTCTGGCTTGCCACCTTTAAAACTGCTTTATTGTCCTTTAAGCAGGTGATACCAACTGGGATTCCTATGCTACCACCACGAAGACTGCATTCACTCCTAAAACAACGGCAGTGGCTACTCCAATACGGTAGATCCTTATTCCAGTTGACTGATATATACGCTTCAGTTTGCTCACTTGTCTCTTATTATTCAGAATCCAAAACAGAGATAGTAATTAGAGAAGGCTTGTAAAAACGCACTCAGGCAGAGGTTATTGTGTGCAAAGCCCTCCTCCCAGCATCCGTGTCCAAACCTCTAACAAGAAAACCAAGAAAAGAGCCACACTGGTTCTTTAACAAGTTACTATGTTTCTTGGTTTACAACAGGCCCGGTATCTAGGATTGTGCTACCTAAACATTAGTATGAATTGAATCCATTCCTTAATAAATAGTAGGCAGATGAGTGAATGGCTGGGTGGATGAGAGAATACTTGTTATCCTGACCATCACTGACACTAGTTTTGGGAACCGTAAGAAGGCCACTGTCCCCCATCCTTACCTCTGCTCCTCCAGACACTGCCGTGGGCCTGCAGCTTCTACCATTCCACCTGAGCTGAGGCCGGTGGGAATTTCTAAACATCAGCTGCCTTTCTCAGCTCATCAGTAGGGGAGTGAGAGCAGGACTGGGAAACCATCTTGTCCTTGATGATCACTAGTAGTAGGTATGAAATCAGCGTGAAGAGCCTTCAATTGCCTGTGTTCATTTTGTGAATTGTTTCCATTCTTCATTGGATTTTTTTTTACCTTAAAAGTCAAATTATTGAGATGTGGAACAGGAAGTTGGCAAGACCATGACATAGAGTCTGGTAGAAATAGATTCTGCCCTCAGTTCAAGGTTCTAACCTTTATCATCTCTGCTACCTTAGACAAATGATAGGCCATCTGGGGTTCTGTTTTGTCACTGGTGAAATAGGGATGATGCCACCTGCCTAAAGTAGCTGCACCAAGGATGGAATTAAAAGCAAAAGGAGAGTGACTAGCACTAAGAAGTTAGTCATTTTCATTCATTTTCTTCCTACATAATATATTGTAGACTTTAAAAAGTACAAGGCTGCAAGATTCCAGATTTCTGAGTTACTGGCATCCCACCCAGTCCATTATCACCCTTAAGAGGGGGATTTATCGTCTGACTGTGATGAATCTGCGGAGTACATGACTGAAGCTTCATCTGAAGAAGAAACATTCAGGATGAAATCTGAAATCAAATAAATACTTAGGGAGTCTAGGTCAGTGGTCTTTAAACTCACATATTTTTGAAGTTCTCATGAAACTTTTCAATGTGAATTTAAATAGTTATAAAAGATTAAACTTCCAGCCCACCCTAAATATTGACATTTTAAAATAAAGCTTTTAAATATAACAAATGAGTACTCTAGGTGCCTTAGCAAATTAATACTCGCCATGATCCTTTTAATAAATAAACAAGCTCTTCTTTGATAGATAATTTACTTCGTTCCTTTTTCTTCCTGAACCCTCATTTCTATTCCACTTCCTCCTCTGACTTTTTTTCCTGCTGCAATATATTTTATGTTTGAAAGCAATTTATTGATCACTCTATTACACTTCTTTGCAACTATTTTACTGTACTAGTTGAAATTAATTTTTAAACATGTTACGTCACCTAAGTATTTTGTTATCATGCTTATTTTTAGTACGCAATTGTTCAAAGCAAAAAATACATTACAAATGTTGATAATTACTAAATACAAAAAATAATTTTTTTGGTACTTGCATCTTAATGAGATACATGAGGCGGTTTTGTTTTCAATTACTTCACTTAGGCAGTTTGAAGTGTTAGTTTCATAATGGGATTGCATTCAGCGAAAGCTCTTTTCTGGTCCTCTATTATTTTCAATGTATAGATCCTAGTGTTGAGAAACTTGGTTCATAGATAAATAGGTAGATGTGAATAAAAGGAACTTTAGGATAGTGATGTCATTTAACACTCTGAACTCGTTTCTGATTTACATGCCAGAAATCGCAAGGTGATTTTTAATGACTGATCTGCTGACAACTTGATTGGGTACACCTTCAATTTTATCAAAAGTCAGTAATGAGATGATTTGTTACCTGGTTGTTGAGTTATACCCTATCTCAGTTTCTGAGAAATATATTGAAAAAGCACATCTTAACAGATGAGTATTAAATTGCACCTGCTACTCTTTCACTTGAAGGCAACCTGTTTAATATTGTATGATCAAAAAGGACTTGGAAAATGGAAACATTAATTTTAACAAATGTTTTCTAATAGAACCTTCTTTTTAGATAAAAGGTATTTATCATCACATACTTTAATGTATTTTTAACAAATGCTTGGCGCTGAAGACTTTGCTTATACAGTTTATACTATCTTTACCTAGTTGGTAAAAATCAGTCCTTATTCTCAACCAATGAGTGAATATAGGCTTATTTCCTGTCTAAATAAAATCGGAATACATTTTCAAATAAATGTTAATATATGTTTTAAATATATGCTTTTCAATATTTTCAGAACTACTGAAAAATGAACTATAGAATGAATATTTTAGAGAAGATCATTAAAAATAGACATGAGAAGTATAAAAATATTTCAGGTCCCATATGGTTAGTTATATCCAAGTAACAAAAATAATGCAATAAAATGTGTAGCTAAATGTATATTGATTGAAGAGGGTGATAAAAAATATGATGCTCCTTCAATATGACCTCAGGTATTAATATATAGAATCCTGCTGTTTGACTTTTGGGAATAATTAATAATAATCATGTGTGAAACCGAGAAACAATTTTATTAATTTTGTTAATCATCAAATCAAATATTTACTAGTATTGAATGAAAGTAAGTCAGACTAATAGGTCTGATAAGCTAGTATAGATTTTCATTTATTATTAAATATTTTACAACATGAAATAAAGACTGGCTGTGTTGGAGTAAATACTTCATAATGTGATTTGATTAAAATAAGATTAATACTTTATTGAATAATGACTACAAAATCTGAAAAAAAGTCACTTTCCTTATTTACCAGCTTTATCTAGCAAAACTTCAAAAATCTTCAGAAAAAATTAGTTATTTTTAAAGTTATATTTATAGCAGCACCAACCTGAATGGTTTCACCCACTCAAAGATGCTGTTCTTTCCAGCTAATGACATGTCCTAGGGTTTTTAATTAAAGACAAAAAAAAGAAATGTGATCTTTAACTATGTGAAGAAAAGAGCCATTTGAAGCACTCTGCTCTTCTCTCTGAAGCTTCTCCCTAAAGATGGATCAACAATTTTGTAATTAGTAAGACATGGAGAACCAGACATTACTTTTTTCTTTTTAAAAGTCAATTTAGGTACAACATACCTAAATTCAGCACATCCCCGCATAGTCTGTAGTGCCCTGGCTACAGCACAACCTTGACTCCCTACAAAAATACATAGGACACCGAGAAACCACCAGGCCCAGGCAAGTATATGGAACAGAGATTCCAGGGAGGCCTCCCTGAAATCACATTTTCTCTTCCTTTGGCACCCCTCTCCTGGTTGGACACCTACGTTCTGAGGCAATGAACCCTAGAAAGATCTCGTAGTACAAGAGGAAATGGAGAATTAGGCAAGGACTGTGGGAAAGGAAGAATCTCTGTGTGTATGTATGTATGTATATGCAGGTTCATTCTCAGGCAGATATGTTTTTAGATAAGAATATAGGAAGAAAATGAAATCTGAAATTGCTTCTTCCAAAGCCGTATTGTGTCCCCTTTGGAAAATCTCTAGTTTACATGTGAATGATAGTAAAATAATCAATCATCCACATGTTTCCAGTTTTCCAGGTACTTGTTTCTTACACACATAACCTGAATCTACCCAGCCCTCTTCTTTAAAAAAAGTCAATATGAAATATTTTACACATACACGAAGAAATACACAACAAATCCTCGGCTATCCCCAGGTATGGCAGCCATCAACACATGGATAAATTTCATCCATACCTTCCACCCCACCTTCCCACTGGATAATGTAGAAGCAGATTCCAGGCACTGTATCATTTAAAATCTAAATATTTTGTATGTATCTCTAAAAGGTAAGGATCCTTTGAAATACATAACAACACTATTATCTCACCTTAGAAACCTACTTCTTTAATAACAAATAGCCAATGGCAATCAGTTTACCCCAACTGTTTCATAATTTAAAAAACACAGTTGGTTTGAAATTGAATCCAAACAATATCCACATATTGTATCAGTCTATGACATCTCTTACCTTATTTAATCTAAGGAAAAAAAGAGGAGACCCCTTTTAATGAATTTTTTTTGTTGAAGAAACAGGAGTGTTCTGTATTTTTCTGATTTTATTCCTTCATATAATTTAAACCATTTCTCTTTTCATATATTTCCTGTAATCCAGCATTCTAAAGACTTCATCTCATTCAAATTTTATATTTTGGCAAAAATATTTAATAGGTGATGCCATGTGTGGCTACCTGGAAGCTCACGGTGTCTGGTGGTCTCTCTTTTAAGCCGTGAGTGAACATTGCTGGCCATTGCCAGATGCATTATTTCATCAGGGAATTGCAGTCCAGTGATATCCTACTACTTATATATTTCTTTCATCAAGTGGAACATTTCTAGAGGGAGACTGGTTTTTCATCAACTATTTGGTTATAACAAAGTATTGTTTGCGTGGGAGAGTAACTAGCTTTTTAAAAAAATTATTGAAATAAATTTCAGATTGTTATTTTAAAAAATTTCATTATAAGTCTTTGTGAGACTATCACGAAGCTATCCTAAAATACAAGAAGATTGTTTCCTTTCAAGAGAATCTGGAAATTAAATTATTTCTGGTGTCAAGTCTTAAGCCAGCCAATCTTTAAAAAGATGTAATGAGTGAAATGATTTGACATGTGTGTGAAATTTGACATTTAATCTCTTACTCTAATTTCTACTTTTTTTTATAGTCAAAAAGGTATGAGAAGATTAGGATATACATATTCACTTAGCGATCCTATTCCCAATCAGACTCACTACAATGATGAATACAGCTGGAAGGCATATTCTAAAGAAGGTTTGATCGCACCTGGGACTTCCAGAGGACTCAGGAGTAACAAATCTCACCCCAATCAAGTAAGATAATGTCCACATATCTGTTGGATTTAACAACCCATAAGAATGAGAGTTTGAGTATTTTGTAAAGGCCCCTCCTTTTCCAAAGTCATAGGATCCATGGTCCTTCTTAGACTAGTTCTTTTTTACTTTCTTACATTTATTTCTAACCACTTCTCTATCCCCTAGGATTACTTTTTAAAGATTTTTAAAAATTGAAGTGAAATCCACATACTATAGAATTTTCAATGTGAACAGTTCGCTGGCATTTGATACATCTATGTTGTTGGGCAACTACTACCTCTATCTCATTCCAAAGCATTTTCATCATCCTAGAAGGAAACCCCATACCCATTAAGCTGTTACTTCCTACTCCCCTGAACTTGAGCCCCTGACAATCGCTGATATTCTTTCTTTCTCTGTGGATTACCTATTCTGGATATTTTACATATGGAATCATACAATAGGTCATCTTTTGTGCTTGGCTTCTTTCACTCAACTCATTTTTGAGTTTCAATGATACTGTAGGAGAAATCAACACTTCATTCTTTTTTTGTAATTGAATAATACTCTATTGCATGGATATACCAAATTTGTTTATTCATATATCTGTTGGTAGATATTTGGGTTGTTTCTAACTTTTGACTATTTTGAATTTTGCTGCTATGAATAGGTATGTTTAAGCATTTGTGTTTGGTATTAAGTTTCATATATCCTCAAACCTGTAGGTCTTTTATCATTCTGTTGCCTCTATCTAGAATGCCCTTCTTCTCTCCACTCCTATATTTCTTCAAATCTCAGTTCAAAGAGATCCATTTCTAAGTCTTTTTCCTCCTGGATAGAAGTAATTGATCCTCCCTCTGTGTTTTCTTGGCCTTGCCATCATAACAGGCAATGCTCAGTTGTAGTAAAGGGTTTTATTTATTTGACCGTTACCTGGAATGGAGCCACCTGTGATGGAGCCACCTGGATGAATTCAATAGATGCCAATACTAGGTGGTAGAATGGACAGGATTTGATGGCTATAAGGATGTGAAAGATAAAGAAGAAAGAGGGAAGGATGACATTCGTCTTTCCAACTTAGGCAGGTGGATATATGCTGTTGCTATTTATTGAGCTGAAACATGGTAGACCACCAGGTTTGATAGGGAAGGACACAGGGAAAAATGTGAGCTCACATTAGTTGAGGATATTCTAATATGCAGGTCTGGAGCCTACAGGAGAAAGATGAGCTGGAGATACAGACTTTGGAATCATATATATATGATTCATTTACCTTGGTTGCTCATGATATCCATTCATTATTACCTATTTAGCTCTTAAATATTTTCTTCAATATTTTAAAGTCAATGTAGAGTTGATTACAATATTATACTACATACCTATGCACACACACACGGGCATATATTTTTCCCTTCTAAGTCCTACCAATGCTTTCAACCAATGAGAGGTAGTTTGGCAGAATGTCTTGTCCTCAGCCAATGAGAGGTAATGGCAAATGGTCTTATGTGTCCTCAGCCAATGAGAGGTAATGTGGCAAACTCTCTTGTGTGTTCTCAACCAAGGAGTGTCCACATGCCAGACTGCAAACCCTATTAATCCACGTATTGAACATCAACAGCTGCTAACATTACACAAAAAGAAACAACAGTATATTGTGTGCCTCCTCTAGTCTTGCCAAACACCACTTATGATCTAGTCAAAGGTGTTGATTCTGAATCTGAGTCTCTGGATCCAGCTGCCAATTTACAGGAAATACAGGGAACAGAGGAACTGTATGGATTCAACAAAATCCAGACCATGGGAACCTCACCCTGATTCCACATCACATGGCTTCTTCAACAGATAAATTATAATTGATTTCTCTAGTAGATAAATTATAAGGGAAAGAAGAAGATTGAGAGGAAACCTGAAAATGAAAAGAGACTTGAAAGACATATTTGGGACAGTGATTATGTATAACTATTTTGAGGAATTTCAATGTAAAGGGAAACTAAGAATTATCTTTGTAACTAGACGGGAGAATTTTCTTTCTAAGAGAAGAGAAAAGAGGCATGCTTAAATACCAGTGTCAACCACACAGTGGACAGGGAGAAACTGAAGTCTCAAGAGAGAAGTAAAAATTGTTGGAGTGATTTGCTTAGACTATGTTAATGGAAAAATACTCAAGCACTGCAAAATAATTTAAAGAGGTTTATTCTGAGCCAATGAGTGTAACCGTGGCCTAGGGAGCCAAGAAGCTTTGAGTGAGTAGTCCAGAGATGGTCGGGTCACAATTTGGTTTTATACATTTTAGAGAGATGAGAACTGTAGGTAAAATCATAAATCAGTACATGAAAGGCATATATTGGTTTGTCCCCAAAAGGTGCAACATCTCAAAGCAGGGGCTTACAGGTAAATTCAGAGATCCTTTGATTTGTAATTAGTTAAGGAAACAAAGCTTTATCTAAAAGCTTAGATGATTTAAGACAAGGAAGTCTGTTAATCAGTGACAAAACAAATACTGACGCAAGTGATGTGTTAAGCAAATTGATGGCCTGCAGGTGTGATTTAACTTTTGTCCTGCATTGCTTTAGTCCCATTAATAATTTAGTATTTTATTGTCTCTAAGTGACTATTTTATCAGTATTATGATCTCTGTTTTAATATTCATGCTGGTTAATCATTGCATCTAAATTCTAAAAGGGAGGGGGTATAAGTGAGGCATGTCTGACCTCACTTCCCTTCATGGCCAGGAGATTGGTTTTAAGGTCTTTCTGTAGTCCCCGTGGTTAAGAGGGACCCATACAGTCAGCTGGGGCATTGGGCTTAGGATTTATTTTTAGTTTACAAGTGAACTGAGCTCTAGTAACCCAGGTAGGGCAGGGAACATATGTGGCTCCTCTCCCATCACAGCATCTGCAGTGAAGGTTTGGCTGCTGGGAAAAGGTACAGTGAGCTGTAGAAAGTCTCCACTGGTGGCTTCAGTTTTCTCGGGGAAACAGGAAGCAAGGTCATGAGAAAGGGAAGATAGAAAGAGGGGGCAGAAGCTTCAAGTTCTATAATAATAAAATCTCTTTGGGTGTGAAAAGGCAAGAATACCTGCCTGGCCTAACCTTCAGCAATATGCTGAAGTTCCCTCTGGGGGTTCACAGGGGAAGGCAGCCAGTCTCTGTGCTCCTTGGCACTATCTGGCAGAAACAGAATCATGTGGGTTTTCTCCTCCTGTGGTCTTGTCTGATAAGAGAGTTCTGGTTAGAAGTATAACACTTTGAAGTCTTCAATCTCATTTTCTTATCATCGACTTGAAAAGTCAAATGCAGAAAGTATTTGTGTTACAGCTGGGTAAACCAAAGGCTCCCCCTGACAGGTTCCTTGCGAACATGCGATTCCAGGGCGGTAGCTAGGTGTTAAGGCTTCAGAAGAATATGTACACACGAAGACTCGTATTCGTGATTCCATTAGGATCCATACAGGTGTTCTTGACGATTGCTTTGCATTTATAGGGCTTTTTTCCGTGGACACTACCTCAAGGTCAGCAAACGACAGCATTAAGGGACTGCCCCTCTTGGAGAATCCCATCTTCGATGGTAGACGTTAAGAAAGCAATAGCAAATCAGTTTGCTTCCATTACTAAGAGAGACTTTGTGGACAGAGCAGAAGGTAAACTTGTTTGTTTTTCTTTTTTCCATGGTCATGTGGTAGTCATGGAGATGCAGTGATTATCAGCCTGGTCTCTTATCTCAAGGTTTAGGCAGGGAAACAGGTGATTTTGCAAACAAAAACTATCAAGTATAAAAAGGGGCACCTTGTTAGAAATGTAGGCTGCACTGGGTGCACAGGAGGACGTCCAGCCTCAGCCTCATGTGTGTCGGGGGAGAGGGTTCAGAAAAGGCTTCCCTTCCTGTGCCTGAAGGATAAAGAAGAATTAGCCAGGCAAAGAGCCAGGGGAGAGTGTTGTTGCTGGATCCTGAATGCCTAGGCAGTGGTCCTCAACCTCAATGTGGGTCACGACCCCTTTGTAACAATGAAAATACATCCTGCATATCAGGTATTTACATTACGATTCATAACAGTAGCAAAATTACAGTTATGAAGTAGCAACGAAAATAATATTATGTTTGTGGGTCACCACAACATGAGGAACTGTATTAAAGGGTTGCAGCATTAGGAGGCATTAGGAAGGTTGAGAACCACTGGACTAGAGGAATATTTGAGGAACTGAAAGAACTTCAGCAGGAATAGGGCAGTCAAGGGTGAGGGGAGGCTGAAAGAAGAGACCACAGTTGGGCAGGGACCTTGCCCTCTAGAAGGGTCTGGCAAGGCATGCGAAGGAGTCATCACAGGAGTGATTAAAAGTTTTTGATAAGGGTGGTGACACCATTCAGATGCAGGATTTAGAAGCCTTGCTCTGGCTGTGGAGTGAAGCCTGGAGGTGGACCAGTATGGGAGGAAAAGACCAGCCTGGGGCTGTCAGGGAAGCCTAGGAAGGAGCAAGGTGGCTTGATGCCAGCAGGACAGGTGGAGACAGAATTGGCAGGGTGTGGCTTGGACACTTGAGTAGGCGATAATGTTTCTGAACCACAAGGGAGGGTCCAGCCTCGGTCTGGTTGTTCACTGCACAGAAAACTAATTACTGAGACAATGAGAACTGTTAATGAAGAAAGGAATTTTTAATACAAATGATCTCAGCTGGAATACAAGGGAAGCAACCTCAACTCTATTCCCCCAACTAACAGAGAGTAGGGGTTCTTTTTTTCCTAATTCCCACAGGATCCTGGAAAAAAAAATTTTTGTTTTGTCTCTTTGTTTGAGACAGAGTCTCGCCATGTTGTCCTGCGTAGAATGCTGTGGCATCACAGTTCACAGAAACCTCAAACTCAAACGATTCTCTTGCCTCAGCCTCCCAAGTAGCTGGGACTACAGGCACCTGCCACAATGCCCGGCTATTTTTTGTTACAGTTGTCATTGTTGTTTAGCTGGCCCAGGTTGGGTTCGAACCTGCCACCCTCGGTATATGTGGCTGGCACTGTAAGCTCTGTGCTACAGGCACCAAGCCAAGAGATTAGAGAGTGGAGACGTGCACTGGGGCAGATTGTGCTAAAACTAATGCAGGTAGATAGTTTGTACAGGTTAGTGAGGGATAGTGATTCTTGACATCAGGAAGTCTGCAGCGGGGGCCTTCACAATCTCAACTCTTACACAAATTCTTCTATTTGGGGGAAACAACTCAAAAGGTCAAGTAGTTAGTTGAAAGTTACAAGATTCTGGCCATCAAACCCTACTAGCCTGGAAATCCAAAGAAAGCATAAGAAAGCTATGAGGAAAACATATGTGGGGGTTCATCCTCTGTTTGTTCATGGGGTTGGTTACAATAAGCCAGTTCCAGGGCAGGGACTGTGGCGCTCTGGCTTACATTGTATCCCCAGCACCCACTCCAGTGTCTGGTTCTTTATAGGTGATGAAAAGAAATATTGTTTGAGCAGATGACAGGGATGAGGGAGTGAAAGGAGCTGGCAGGTCTCTGACCTGGGGTTCTGTGTGGATGGGATGGTAGTACCTTTTGTAGATGAGCAGGGAAATGAGGGCAGGGTGAAGCAAGGGCCATTTTATTCTCCCTGGGCAGAGAGAAGGAGGCTACCATGCATTTCATCCTGCTTGCTGAAAGAGCTTGTGTCTCCTTCTGGGATGGGCGTTCAGCCCTACAGATCTTCCACTGCGAGAGTCTAGCTTCTCTTATGATTCACTTGGCCCTCAGCGCTCTATAGCTGGGGAAGCTTATGAATGGTTTTCTATAGGGCACATATTGATGCCACCATAACTTTGTCCCTACCTTGGCCTCATGTCCCAGGGACCAAAAATGAATTTGATTTCTACAGACATATTTTCCAGAAATGACATAATTGCTGATGCAGTACAATTTTGATCTTGCATATCAGCAGGAAATTTGCTTTATTGAGAATTCATGGAAATTGATTATAGTTATTTAAAAACTTCAACAAGGCAACCTTTCCCTAAGTTATTGAGAAAATAATGCACCCTGGCTTACTGCTGCAAGCCTTGCTGACAAAATGGCAGCTGGAGTTTTAGTGTTCTCTTGCCTCTTTGATGACAAAATAATGATACTAAAAACAGCTGCGGAAGGAATGTGAACACAAACCAAGGAGCACTGAGAGCCCTTGTCCCCTTGGGTCTCTGTGAGTCAGGAGATAAATAAACCTCTCAACACCTATGTGTCTCCCCTTCCCCCCGCCCCAGCGGCCCCACATCCCGTGTGAACTGTGGATCTGTCTCCCCTGCCCCAGTTAGCTCGCCTTTGACACTGCATTGTCTCTTCATCCCCCAAGTGTTAACCCCAGCCCACCAGCACACACAGTGACTATCAGATCCCATCTATGAGAGTATATTCCAAACGAAAACAAAAACAAGAGCTCTCCACATTTAAAATTTTTTTTCAGATTAATATGAAGGTACTAACAATTCGGGTACAATGTTTGCATTTTGTTAGGTAAAGTGTCCACTGTAATTATGCCCCTCACCCAGGGGGTATGTCCTCTGCCCTTACATTGTACCCATCAGGTAAGCGCACACCCGTCCCCCTGCCTTCTCCCGTCTCTTCCCTCCTGCCCCTCCCCCCAACTTGAGTTGAGTTGTGTCTTTCTCAGTATCTCTTGTACTGGCTTCATGTTAGTATAGTGTACATTGGATACTTGTGATACTTTACTAAGAAGTCCAATTAGATTTTTTAAAGCATTCCGTTTTTGTTTTATAGATGTAGTAATCCCGTAAGATTTTTATGACATCCTTAATTTTTAGCATTTTCATCTGTTCCTAGCATTGTTTCTAGTTTTTCTGAATGTCTTAATGGTCCAATAAATATTTGGCTGTCTGTTTATATTTAGAAGGGAGCAGAGGTAGATTTATTATAAACCTTAGAAAACTTAAGCCATTTGCTATTTGCCTTCTAATGATTAAAGTTTCTGATTCCTTTAAGGAGCACCTATCCTGAGGATTCCCTCATTTGTATCTCTTTCTAAATCTCCTTCTCAGATCCCACTTTCACATATTTGGTTACTGAGTGCAAGTCTCATGGGGACGCCAACCCATCACATTTTCCTTCCCTGGCAACTGATCTTCCTACATTAGCGATAGGTCCCTCTAATTTTTTTCCCCACATGGCAGCTGGATTATCTCTTGAATATCTACATCAGATCATATATTCTATTGCTTCCTTTCATTGGCTTTCTGCTGTTCTTTGAATAACATTCAAATTCTAGTTCCTTATCTTGGCTCTTGAGTTTCCTTCTAAGGTGACCAGATTTTAACATTGGTAAAGTGGGACACCATTGACTGGGGGGGAAGGGGTTCTTAATTAAAAATTTAGTCTATATGGAGCAAGAAGAATTTTCATAGAATGCAAAAATAGTATTGTAATATATATTTTTTAATTTCAACATAAGTATAATTTATAAATATAATACATTAAAAATTATGTATAGTATTATTTTATTCTTTGGTATATTTCTCATTTGAGTGAATTTTTTTTAATAGATTGCTGTTGTTTAAAAGCTCATGAAATTTTTCACAAGAATTTGTTAAATTATATCTCACACATAAAATGGTTTTCAAAGTCTTAACACTTAATTGTGATTTTTCTGATGTCCACACTTTATTTATCATAGAAAAAACGCGTTCAGTCGCAGCATTAGTTCCTGGTAAGGACAGCGCGTATCCCACAATTTTTAGTGCGTTATTGTATGGAACATGGTTTGTTTCAAAATGAGGAAATATTTCTAACTATTTGTTCACTATTGTGATTTTTGCTGATGCCCAAGATTTAACCTTTTCCTTATCAATATATTTTTTTAATAATGATACCTCATAAGTCATAAGTGTCACTTTCAAGGCCGGCACTAGACTTTTTGCTGCCACTATAAAATATAAATAATACGAGTACTGTCTGCTAAGTTCATGAAAAAAATAAATAAATTACTTACCTAAATTATCTGAATAGCTGATTTGTTGACATCACTTGTTTAACTAGCACTAGCACACAGCACAATGTGTATCATCTGAGGGACAGTTACAAAATGTTTTTGTGGTTGCCAATGCCAAACAATGCCATTGTTCATTAAGTCCAAACAATGGTGGTCGAATTCTAACAACTGATCAACAATGCGAACTTTGATAAGCAGTTCTCAATAATCAGTTCTCAACAATTATTTGTTATTATTAAAGTTTAACATTATAAAATTAACAAAAATAATATAAAATTCATATCCTGCTGAAATAGCCACATGGCAGCTGAGAACCATCTATTCCCTTCCCGTTCTCCCACAGTTCCCTAGCTTGTCATGCATTCTTTCCAAAAATCGGGACTTTTTAAAAATGCCACAGGATGCAGAACAAATTGTTAAAAATCCAGACTGTCCTGCCAAAAGCGGGACATCTGGTCACCTTACTTTAGACTGAACCTTACTCCCTCACCGTCATTGCTGCTGCAGTCTCCTCCTTCACCAGGCCCCAACCACATGGCCTTGCTTCAGTGCCAGAGATGCCAACTTTCTTTTTCATTTCGAAACATTAAAGGGCTGTAAGTGTTTTTGTCACATGGATGAGCTGTATAATGCTGAAGTCTGTGCCCATCACAGAGTAGTGCACATTGTACCCCACAGGTAAGAGTCTAGCCCTCGCCTCAGCTCCTTCTGTGGTTTCCCTTGTCATTCTGTAGACTTGAGCGTGGACGGCACCTTCTCTTTGTGCCCCTTCCTTGTTATTTTACCTGAGAGGGCAGCCACCATCTCATTTGTTTCCTTCCATTGTGAAGTCATTTGTTACTGATTCTTGGTTTGGGTTGTTTTGTTTTATTCTTTCCTCCACTGTTCAGTAAGCTTCCCAGAGGCCTTTATTCACTCACGGCTTTGTGCCATGATTGGTATACAGAAGGAACTCAGTAACCATTTGCTGAATGAGGGAGAGAATGTACAGGAAGTACCTTTTTAAAACCTTGGTGGATATGGGATCAAAAGGCCTCCATAACTGCAGATAAACATTAAGGGTCATGGGAAAACATTCAACGTGTCAGCATCCTTAAAAGATGTTTTTCAGCTTCCAGGCAAAATTGTCTGTTCAGCCTGGGCAGGGTATCATTTCCCCATGGGTAGGTAAATTCTCAGGACCTGTCAAGACACCCTCCTCTCCTGCCTCCGTCTGCGTCTCTCTGCTGGGTCATCCCTATTCCAACTCCCTTTTCCAGTGTTGTCCCCTCAAATCTACTGTCCATACTTTTACTGTCCATACTAGAGCCAAAGTAAGTTTCTGGATATGCAAATTGATGTCATTTTACAGATTAAAAACCCTTCAATGACTCCCTGTTATCCTCAGGATAAAAGCATCAGTCTTGCATGAGTCCTGCTCAGACTGGTACTGGCCGGCTTCCTGCCTTTCCCCTCATCCATATTCATGGATGCGACCAAGTGGCCAGGCGTCCTCCACATTCACTGTACCTGCTGGAGCCTCGTGCCATCTGCATACACTGCTTCTGCCCTGTGGAACACCTCTCCCCTCCTCCACAGCTGGGTCTAGACCTAACTCAAGTCTAGATATGGGCTTCATTTCAATCCTGGAGGCCTCCTCTGATCACCTACTTTTAGGTCATGGTCCTCTCGTGTTTTGGTAGCTCCAGGTTCTTGTCTCTTTTGCAGGACTTGTCACATGAAACTGTCCTTATCCTTGTATGTGTGTGTGTGTGTTTCTAATAGTTTAAGCTTCTGAAGCACAGGGACAATGTCTTAGTTTTGTATCCTCATTAATGAATCAGGGCAAAGGAGTGAAGCACTAGAAGGTGTTTGTTTTCACATTTGGACTTGAAGAACTTGGCTTTGATGAATCAGAACAACTGACAAAGCCAGCACAGCTAGTTCCCGCTTAGTTAAGATTATGTGTCCATGCGCCTAACGGTGTTGAATAGTCCTTGCTGTAAATTTATGTTTGGATTGGGCCTTTCTGCAGATGCCATGCATAATATTAAAATAGGCTAATTTCTTTCTTTGGGCTAAACCACTCTAGTATCATAGCTATCAAGAGGAGAAGAAATGGAGGTGGGGGCTGAGCTCCTGAGGAGCAAGGATGTCTCCCTGGAAGGGGTCTTTGGGTCAGGTTTGCTCTGAGTCATGATTATCATTTCTGCCTATACTTCAGCACCACTGTGGGGGTTTCAGGTGTTGGTTGGGTCACATTATATCAGGAACTTCTCTTCTTGATAATGTGTGAAGGAGCTCATTAACATGAAACTTTATAGAGACAATAAAAGCTTTTATTAGTTGAGAAGAACAAAATCCCACACTATGGAATGAATAATATACAGTTTATTAGAAGTTACCTTAAGCATAAATCACATGGGCAAGTCACTGGAGTGTAGTTCAGATATCAATTGCTAATCCATAACAATTATGTTTCTAGAGATTTTTGGTTCACTCATTAATTTGATAAATATTTAATGAGGTCTATTACTGCCATTAAGTACCGAGGACCAACAAAGTCAGAGATTTAATCTTCAAAGGAACTTAGACTAAGCCCAGGTCCTGATTTATTGCTTTTTATGGATCTTCATTTCCAACTATTCTAGTTCTCTACTGATCCATCATGGTCCATGTGGACCAGATTTTGAAGACCTTTCAGAGCCCGGCCCTCGCTTATCTCTTCTGTTTCACCCTCAACTACTCTTTCTTCCCTAAACACCCCACACTTCTGCCAACCAGAGCATATTGCATGGACACTCCAGAGATGGTTTCCTTCCATGTTAACCCATCATCAAAGCCCTTTCCTGTGTTTGCCTTTCAGTCCTTGTCTTTCTCCTCTCCCCCTGACATAACTCCTCATGCTCTGGTCTTTCCTAGAACCTTAGTCAAAGCTCTGAGTCAGTGATTCTTAAGCACATGAGAAGTTTGTTCACATCTAAGTGCCTGGGACCCACTTCTAGAGATTCTCAATGTCTGGCATGAGGCTCAGCAGCTATATTCTGAGAAACCCTTCCCAGATAATTCTCATGTCTTATCTTCACTTGAGAACCACAGTTCCAAATGTTATGGTTGCAAGGAGTATCACATTCTGTATCTTTTTGCACTGTAGATATCTTTCTAATCATACTAGTTGCCTCAAGGTTGAATAATGGCTTAATTATCTATAACCTTGGCAAACACCATAGAACACATAAGGAAACTGAAAACATTTGCTATTGAGTGGTAGCCCTAGGGAAAAGATACAGATATATGTATCAAATATTTCAATGGGGATTTTTTCCCCTATAAAGCTATTAGTAAATTATAAACAACAAGTGTCTTAGTCCATTTTGTGCTGCTGTAACAGAATAGCTGAGACAAGATAATCTATAATGAACAGAAATTTATTTGGATCATGGTTTTGGAGATTGGGAAGCCAAGAGTATGGGGCTGGCATCTTGTAACAGCCATCTTGCTGGATCAACCCATGGAAAAAGGTGGTAAGGCAAGAAAGCGTGAAGGTGAGAAAGAGAGGAAGGGAGCCACACTCATCCTTTTATCAGGAAGAGACTCTTGTAATAACCAACCTACTCCCACAGTAACAGCCTTCATCCATTCATGTGGGCAATAATCTAATCACCCCTCATTAGCCCCACCTCCCAACACTGCTGCCGTGGTGATTAAGTTTCCAACACATGCTTTGTGGGGGAACACGTTCAAGGCATAGCACTAAGTTATAGATGGAAGTTATAAGAACAGTATTGGATGATTTCCAAAATATTTTACCAGGTTCCCTGATTTCGAGTTCTACAATTTCTTTCTCTCTGTAGACTATTTTTCATGGGCAGTTTATGCGGTCACTAGGAGGACGATTGAGCACATGGGTCCTCTCCTCTAACATCATCCAAAATGAAAGGCAGAATGTGGTAGAACCCTTTCCTCTTCTGCTGGTCTACACAGAAATTATTTTTTTAAAAAATCAATATTAAAATGCTCTCAGGTGCCAGGAGATACAATTATGTATCTTTTGATATACAGCGTATGCCAGTGATGCCATTAAGAATCATTTGACATACAATGTATATTAGAATTTATTTTGAAAAGACCTATTGAAAAACTAATTTGGAAGAAAATTGAATTCAGTGTCAATAGTAATTTGCAGTGTTTGGGCATTGCTCATGAAACCCACATTTTTAACATCTTCATCCTTCTGAATAAAGATGATGTTGTTTAACATGGGTCTGAACTAAGGCTTTATAGCAAGAATTAGAATCTCACTCACTCTAAGCGAGATAGATGGCTTGTGACTCTCTCCTCCCAATCTGGTAATGTTTGTATAACTAACAGTGCTTCGTAGACATTAATGACGATATATTTAATGAATGTTTTTTAGCGGAGATATTTCAAAGAAATTACAGTGCTATTGTCCACTAAAGACAATGATGCTACCTAAGCCTCCATGAGTGAGGCATAAGTTTGAATGGATCTTTCCCAGTAGAGATGATATATAACACCCTGTCTAGGGCTGACAGATTAAGCAAATAAAAATATAAGATGCCCAGGCAAATTTGAATAATGATATGCAGTAGATAATAAGTATTTATATATCTTTATAATAAAAAAGTATTCATTGTTTATCTGAAATCCAAATTTAACCGCGCATTCTGTGTTTTACGTGGCAATCCTATCCAAAGTCTCTCACTCTACTGCTCACCTCTGTCCTGGGGAGTAGGCAGACCTGGGGGAATGATCGGTGCCTCTTTGCCCACTAAGTAGAACAAAAGAACAATTCTAACTGACATACGAATATATTCATTAGAAACTACTCATAATCATTTGACCATGCACTTCTGTGACTGATAAAGCAGACAATTATTCTTCGATCAAGGTGTCCATAAAAAGTACATTGACTGTACCTCTTAGTATAAGAAGAGTGGGGTTTTGGTATGATAACTTGGAAGCTACTTCCACAAGCAAAATGGAGTGAAAAGCTATTTTAAAAATAGCTTTCAAGGAGTAATAATTACCTTCTGTTTCTATCCCCCACCACAGCTCAGAAGATTAAGAATAGTTCTCTGTTGTCTACGGAATGGAAAAAGTTGATTCCTCGGCCTCTAAACACTGAATTTCGACAGAATTACCAAATTCCAGCTAAAATTCCTGAGCTTCAGAATTCTAGTGTCAAATATGGCTGCTGCACGAGCTTGCCAGTTGCTTCTCAGGGTCTAGGTGAGTATACCTGTAGTTGTTAGACTAATTTTATAGACTCTAAGCCCTGGAAGCAGGGATTCTCAATGCAGAGGAGCCTGGCCAATTTTGATAATCCACAAAACAAGTATGGGCTCTGCCGAGGAGAAGCAGGCTGGGACGGGGCAGGGACGCTTCCTCCTTATGAAGTAAGGGAAGGATGTGGTGGCTGTAAAATGGAAAAAAGATTAGGAAGGGATCTAATTGGTTTTGTCTATTATCCAGATGGCACACAAATTCCATGACCAAGCCACTCCCAGGCTGCTGGCAAAGAAGAAAACTTGGTGTCAGTCTGAAACATGATTTATTACTGACATGGAGTTGGGAGTTTCTTGAGCCAAAAGTCACAGAATAGAAGCTTAGCACATTGAGAGTAGAAAGTAGCTTAAAAGTTACTAGAGACTCAGGACAGGTGTGATCTCTTTCTTCCACCTTGCCCTGGCCGAGGGGTGATACTATCTCTGTGTACTCACTTCAGAATGGAGCCCATCCCCCAAGGCAGCTCCTTCACTGTCAGATGTTCCAACTGTTTAAAAAGTTGTAGCAGCTGGAATATTCCTCACTGAGCTTCTAATCATTGGTTCTACATCTCCCAGGGAAAGTCAATGGTACACAGATCTGTGAGTCTATGAAAACCTTACTATAGGACCTGTAAATCTCTTTTCCAGACCCTACAAATGCTCTTTTCTGGGTGTGGTATCAAATTCCCTCAGCAGTCTAATCCCTCCATTTGGCCTATAGTCCCTTCTAGGGGTCACCCAGAACTGGAAGGTGTTCTCAAGGTTGGGCAAGTTGTAGAAATTATGTTTTCACATCATGTCTTTGTTATTTTTTCATGATAGTTCCATGAATATCAGAACGCACTTTAAGTGAACAATACTGAGCATCAAATAGTTAAGTAATCACTTATCTTTGAGGGTTGCCTGCACCTCATACCCCCATTAGTCTGAATGGAAAACGAAATACCAACATAAATACCAACATAAATACCAACATGCTTCCAGCTGCTCATTCAGACACCTGGGTCCTTGGAAGGAGACCTTAGTGTGCTGTCCCAAGGCTGCAGAGGAGATGTTCTGAAAGAAAAACAAGCTTTGTTTATTAAGAAGGTGGTGCATGTGACCACTGTGGGGGCTGAGGCCAACCTTCTCTTTTGCCCTCTGAAGGTTTGCTAAAAAATTCAACAGACAAAGGGCAATTGAAAGGAGAAGGGCATACAAATCTATTAACACACATGGGAGTCACGTGAAAACTAAGAACTCGAAGACATGACCAGATGGTTGTCTCTTCTATAGCATTTTAAGGTTACAGAAAGAATGTGGCTGGAGCTTGGCAGAACAAGCCAAGAGAAGGGAAGAGAAGGAGGCCTGGCTAGCAAAGGGGGCTTGTTCTGTGGAATAACACTCACAGGCAGCAGCCCTCGGAGAGGTTAGATGGCTAGTGTTTCTTTTAGATCTCCCCAAGTGTCAAATTCTCAGTTAATCTCTCCCAGATCCAGGCAAGGGAGGCGCCCAGAGAAAGCCTGGCTGCATCTTGGGGACTTTCTCAACAGATGCGCGGCACTCCAACACAAGCCACTCTGCAGGGCTACTTCTGTCTACAGGCTGTCTGAGCACCCTTCTCAAAATACGTTACGAAGCATAATTTGGTTTTCCTTCACAAATCCTAATACACTGACCCACATAAGAATCCAGTTCATGGAGAACTTCTTTTCTGGAAGTGGTGGGCAAACTCTCTCTCCGGCTGCTTCTCCCACCACTCCCACCTCCAACAGCAAGGAGCAGACAGGACATCCCAGGGGCTCTGCCCTAGTCACGGGAGTGGGGCCGTCAGGGGTGCTGTGCTCGGGTGACTGCCTGCGGGTCTCTGTCCTGTGTGCCTCTGCAGTCCCGTCTGTGCTGCACAGCTACATGGGGAACCAGGAGCGCACCAAGAAGCAGACCATGTACCAGAGCGAGTACGAGAGGGCACAGCAGGACTTCCTGACACTGCTGCACTCCTTCTCTCCCACCCAAATCAAAGAGTATCTTCAGAGTGTTCCCTACGAAGGTAAGATGAGGCCTTCAGTTATTATTTCATGCACGTGTGGCTCATAATACACTGCTTTGTGCCAAATAGAAAGTGTTCTAGTTTCTAGCCACCAGAGTCAAATGGCCACAAAAGGGAAAATATTATCTCAAAACAAACAAACAAACAAAAAACTCATAGTGTTGTGCTAACTTCAATCCAACGAAAAGAAATTTTTCTTGAAAGCAGCCCCAGTGACTATATTCCCACTTATTAAAAAGCAGGCGAGAGGTTTTTTTCACCCATTTCTGAACTCATTTTGCCTGTGGTTGAGCGGCTCCAGGAGGTTTCTCTTTTTCTTACAGCTAATTGATTTTCTCCAGGGGGTGTTTGTACTATCTCAGAGTTTTGTTTTATTCTGTCTAATTTGATTTCCTGTTTGTTGGTTCCTCTTTGGTGGCAGGCTTTTTGAGGTGTATGAGAATCTGTATGTGTTATTATACCCCCAAAGAGAGCAAATGCCGTCCTCGGGATGGCGTTGCTTCACGCCACGTGACCAGGACTTACCCTGGTTCAGGACTGAGTGAGCAGAATCGGTTCAGGGGCATCTCGGGGGCAACTAGGCTGTCTTAGTGAGTGTGTGAAGTGCCAGCTCAGGGAACAAACGATTCTGAGGAGAGGAAACAAAACTTTTCCCCGGCTGCCTCTCAGATGCCTGTGGGAGGGATCACACGCCCCATGCTTCCAGCATGAGCACATCGTGGCCCAGGGCGGATATTTATATAGCGCACTCAAGGGCCACTGGTGTATCACGTACGTTATCAAACATGCAAGCTGTTACAGGAGGAAGTACAAAGCAAATGTGAGTGCGAGTTCTATTTCTTCCTGCGCCAAACAGATCATCCTCAGCTTCACTTTGTCCTTTAGGCTGTGCGGGGCTGCTAACGTGTTCTCTGTCACCTACCCAACTCTCTTGGGTCCCCAGTCTCTGTCCCCAAACACAGTCAGAAGAACTTGCTCCTCTGAAATCCCCGTTAAAACCCTTTCTTTTTCCTGGGATTCCATTCCCCAAGTAAGACAGAACTCTACTGTAGGCAAGATTGACAGAGGTGTGTGTGTTTTGGGGGAAAAAAATGATGTTTTCCTCCAACAGAGACTGAGGGCTGAGGGCCTAAAAACCTTTCAAAGAGCTTATGTGTTGGGTTTCAGGGGAGTACCAGTGGCTTGGCTTTCACCCTGTTCTGAGGCAGAAGTAGGTGTTTTCTACGGGGGGCGCTCATTTCTCTCAAGAAGCTCATTCCTGAGACCTCTGGGCCAGTCTGACACTTCAGAAGGAAGCCGCGAGGCTCCTCGCAGGCTGCGGCCCATCTTCCCAGCGGCCCAGCCGCAGCTCTGCAGCAAGCTTCAGCCTGCCTGCCTGCTCTTTTTCTCAGCTTTGGTGCATGTATGTAAAACCGTCCTCTGCGGTCCCAAAGGAGCTCCTTTTGCCTTTAGAAGCCACATGTGTTGGAACCTGGGGAAAGAACACTTCTGTCTTTCCTGAGCAGATAGGCCCACCTGGCCAGGGACTCACAGTGCAGAGGTGTCTGTTACATCTCTGCCCTCATGGAAACCTTGCTGGCTGCGAGCACCTCAGCTCCTTGCTGTCTGTGTGTCGCGTTAACCAAGCCTTGGTTAGTGAGTGAGCTAGGGACTCCCCAGAGGGCTCTGTCAGCCCCTGTTCAACTTGGGTCTACATCGTCCCACATATGAGGGTAAGCCGATCTTCCCTGCAGACACTGTGTTTACCTGACTGGGTTTTCCTCGCCAGCTGCTGAGACAGGAACCGTTAGCCTGCAAGATAACTTTAGGACAGGCTGCCTTTGTTTCTGCTTAGCACCCCCGCTCCCTGGTTTCCTTAGGGCAGTGGTGGGATAGATCCTGAAGCCCGGGCCCCAGAGCTTTGCTATCTGGTGCTGACTTGGCTGATGCAGCGTCTGCCCCCGTGAATCTTAGCTTCTCTTTCCCAGCTCGGCTTTCCAGCAGCCCACTCACTTCTCAGTGCCAGCTCTGTGAGAGGCTGACAAGCAAATGGGAGGTTCCTTTTGAATGCTCATGCCCCAAACCTCTTGTCATTTTCTAGTGTCAAGGATGACACTAATGCTTTTCAGCTGGTGAATATCTCAGCAGTGCTTTTGTAGCTGAGCACATATGCAGAGATTTTTTTTTAAAACCTAGCAGATGTGTCAGGCGGAATTATTATCAACTCAGCTGAAATGATTTCACTGGATTATCCCTTGTAGGTCATAGGCCAAGGAAGAATAGGACCCCAGAAAAGGTAGATTTGCGAGAGAGAGAAAGAGGAACGGAGAGGGTTAGCTTTCCCCTAAAATAGTGGCCCGAGTCAAGGGGTAAAGAAATGGGAGATGGGGCAGGGGGTGGAATAGAGAAAACTCTAGCAAGACAAAAAAATAAAACTAGAGAAGGAAAAAGGGGACAGAGAGCTGTGGGCAAGCCTTCAGTGTCCATTAACTGTGTGTTGCCACTACAGTATTTGGTACTGAGTTTATTTATAACTTGAGCAGCTTAAACAAGATGTCTTTAGTCGCTATTCTATCTGCAAAATTATTTTAATCCCTGGGTCTAATTTAGGTCACCCAAAAGTTTACTCTGTAGGCCCCCCTTAGTTATTGTAAAGATGTGTTGTTGATCTACCTTGCCCCTACTTGTGAAAGGCAAAGTGATCTGAAATCCAGTTTTCTGTGAATTTATTCAGCTATGACTCCCTCTCCATCTTTCTCCACTACAACTCCCACGAATATGGCTACCCAAGAAGTGTTTCTTCCTAGCTTGTGATTTAATATTCAGAATCCATTTATCCACTCATTCAGTGAACTTCATTGATTGAATATAAGGCTTACTTGGTACGAAGATAAATTATCTTTATCTTCTCAGGAAACTCATGGTCTGATGTGGGAGACAGACACATAGTTATAAGCTCTGTAACTGAAATAAGCTTTGGGTGTAATAGATGCTTGTGAGAGATATTCCCAATTTTGGGGTGGACAGGGAATGATAGAAGGCTGCTCAGAGGAGGTGTCCTTTAAGTCTCAAAGATGAATCTGCATGACAAGGAGAGGCAGGGCCATTCCTAGCAGACAGAACAGCATAAACAAAACCATGAGGGCATGGAATCTGCATCTAAATATGGTAAACATGGGTAACATTTGAATGACAACTTGTAGCTTTTTTGAGTAGCTATTAAATTGACATTAAATTTTACGTGTGCACTCTCATATTTTTTACTAATTCCTGCCAAACTTGCTTCATATGGTATCTCTGGTATCAGAAGAAAGAATCTTTTTTTTTGCTTATTTTAAAATAAATTCTTTGGTATAAAGTTTAAAAATAGAGACAATGCTTACAATGAAAAGGACTGACAACAGCAAATGCCAAGACAGGGAACTATCAGAACCCCCAGAACACGGCTGGTGGAAATACCAAATAGCATAATCACTTTGGAAACAGTTCTGGCCGCTTCTCATAAAGTTAAACATATACTTACTCTGTGATCCAGAAATTCCACTTCTGAGTATTTACCCAAGAGAAAAGAAAACATATGTCTACAAAAGGACATGTACAAGAATGTTGATAACCACTTTATTCTTAATAGCTTCAAACTGGATGCAACCCAAATCTCCGTCAACGGGAAAATGGATAATAAACTGTGGTATATGCACATAATGAAATGCCACTCAACAATACAAAGGAACGAATTATTGCTGTATACAACAAAGTGTATGAACCACTATGCTGGGCAAACGAAGCCAGACACGGCAGAATACCTTCTGTGCAGTTTCATTTATCTGAAAATCTACAGTAGGCAAATTTTACCTATGATGAAAAAAAATCAGAACAGCACGTCTTGGGGTAGGAAGTATTGATTAGGAAGGACCAGGAAGGGCCTTCTGGGATGGTGAAAATGATTTGTATCATCATATGGGTGTCACAGGTCACAGGTATGCAAGTATCAGCCTCATCTGTACACATAAGATCAGTGCATTTTACTTTATGAAAAGTATATTTCAATTAATAAATACAGAGTCAAGTTATGGAGAAGGGTAGGAATGGATCAAAACTAAACACAGGGGTTATGCTTGTAATCCAAGCAGCACTCTGGGAGGCCAAAGCAAGAGGATCACTTGAGGTCAGGAGTTCAAGACTAGCCTGAGCAAGGGAGACACCTCATATCATTTTAAAAATAGAAAAATTATCCAGGTGTGGTGGCACATGCCTATAGTCCCTGCTACTCAGAAGGCTGAGGCAGGAGGATTGCATGAGCCCAGGAGTTTGAGGTATGATGGTGCCGCTGTACTTTAGCCAAGGTGACAGAGGAAGACTTTGTCTCAAAAATAAATAAAAAATAAAAAGTAAACACACGATTGTAAAAACAAATAAATGCAAACTTAAGTGGAGAGACACAGGAACACGGATGTATATACACATGCATGTATACACACATCCCTGATCTCCGGACCTCAGTAGGCATTTGTGACATGGGCAGGATGACACGCACATAGAACCTGACAACATGACATCTTCTGCAGTCACCTCTGTTTGGTTTTGACTACACAGGTGACAGTAACTGGAAGTGACCAAAGTTTTACAGTTCTGCTCTATACTATTTATCAAAGGCATAAAATACATAATCAGGGCAGATATAATTGCTCGTGCCTATAATCCTAGCACTCTGGGAGGCCAAGGTAAGTAGACAGTTTGAGCTCAGGATTTTAAGACCATCCTGAGGAAGAGTGAGACCTCATCTCTACTAAAAGACAAAACAAAACAAAACACCTAGTAGGGTGTTGTGGCAGACACCTGTATTCTCAACTACTTGGGAGGCTGAGGCAAAAGGAACTCTTGAGCCAAAAGTCTACCCAAGGTGACAGACTGAGACTCTGTCTAAAAAAATAAAAAATAAATAAAATAAAATAAAATAAAGCAATACATAATTAGGATTAGGGAATCATGGATGTTCAGAAACAGAGAAGACTCCTTCATGTTACAGAAGAGGGAATAGAGGCCAGACACTTGAAGCACCTTCCCGTAGCCAAATAGCTATCTCGAAGGGTAGCAAAGCCTACCAGTGTTGGTGGGTAGTAAAACTGCCCTAGCTTCTGTGAAATTTTTGGCACAGTTATCTCTAGTTTCAAATCACTGTATATTGCTGTGCACCCAGTAATAAAAGGATAGGGCGGCTCGGCGCCTGTGGCTCAACCGGCTAAGGCGCCAGCCACGTACACCTAAGGTGGCGGGTTCGAATCCCCAGCCTGGACCCGCCAAACAACAATGACGGCTGCAACCAAAAAATAGCCGGGCGTTGTGGCGGGCGCCTGTGGTCCCAGCTGCTTGGGAGGCGGAGGCAGGAGACTCGCTTGAGCCCAGGAGTTGGAGGTTGCTGTGAGCTGTGGTGCCACGGCACTCTACCCAGGGGGACAGCTTGAGGCTCTGTCTCAAAAAAAAAAAAAAAAAGGATAGGGCTACTATTCATTGTCTTTGATGGGCCAAGCACTGTCTCAGTTTTTCACACGCAGCATTCTTAATCCATTCGGGCAACTGTGCAAGGTAAGTACTGATACTTGTATCAAAGATTAGGAAATGAAGAATTGGAAAGATTAAATGATTAGCTAATGCTTGGCAGCCCAGAAGCTTAAGTCTGTTTTATTCTAAAATCCATGGTCTGTCTAGTAAGCCTGCTTAACCTTTGAATGTTAAGTTTAATCTTCTTAATCAGTAATTATGCAACTGAGCCTCTTTAGGTATTAAAGGTAATAGCCTTTGATTATTTTTGTCTTTTATCAAACTTTCATATTTAGTACTGTTACTAGATATTTTCCTCTTTTCAGAAATTTCTCTATTTAGCATTTAAATGCTTAAATACTCATACATGGAAAATTTAATCCTGTTTTTCCTTATGATTTTCAGAAAGACAAATTCTTAATCACTTTATTTATTCCTACTGTGATGCTGACAAAATGAAGAAAAAGGAAAAAAGAAAATAGTCCCAACGAATAAAATCCAGAATCAATGGAAGCACTAGGACCTGCTTGGTTATTTTTTCAATAATAAAGGAAAAATAAGATACATATTGCTCCAAATATGTTGTGATAGGCATGAGTTTGTATATCTTGCTTTGTTTTATTTTTAAATAATAAAATCATTTAAGGCTACAAATTTTCCTCTAAATACAGCTTTAGCTGCATCAAATGGGTTTGATATAATGTTTTCTCTTTTCCCTTTAGGATACTTAAAGTTTCCATTTTGATTTCCTCTTTGAGCCAGGAATTATGAGGAAGAGATTTCTTAATTTCCTAATAACAAGGAAATATTCTTAATATCTTTATCGTAGATTCATTTTTTTGAATGAATTAAAGCAAAAATCTCTGCTTTGGAAAATTTATCAGTATTCTTTAATCAATTGCATCAATCAATATACAATTATTTTTTGTGTTAAACAAAGAAAGAAAAATATATAGTTTATTGTATTTTTCAAATTCCTTATGTCTTTACCTTAGTTATACATGAGCTATCAAATTCTGAGAGAAACATATTTAAAAATCCCACAATAAATATGTCTCCATTCATTTCTTTTTGTTTCTGAGATTTTTGCTTTAAATGTATGGCTGCTATATTATTTATTCTAGTAAGGTTTATGACTTGTATGGAGCATCTTCCTTGACTAACGTTTTCCCTATTATATGTTTTTCCTCTGGGCCTGATTAATGCTTTTGGCTTTGAGTTGTATTTTAATTGACATTAATATTGGCATTCATGCTGGTTTGGTTTGGTTTGCAAACCTCTCCTTTGCATTTTCTCCCTACTTACTTGCCTTCTTTAATTTCCAGTCTTTTTTTTCTTTTTAACTTTGTTTCATTGTGTTTCTAGAAATTCCTAGTGCCAGTGGCTGTTCACTATCCTATCCTCATTGCCACTTGTCGGGGTCAGAACTGGCCAGGTCTCCAGCCTCGACTTATCTATTGTCTGGATGCAGATTGCTATGCTATCTTGCTAGGGAACAATTACCCTTAGGTGTCTGCAGGCTATTCGCCTTAGCAGAAGGGAGAGAGAGAGAAACAATCTTCCAGCGAGAGAAATAGTCTTAGTAGGAAAGTAAATCTTACCAGTCTTCTTGGAAGAGCCCTCAGGCAGACACCCTGAGGGCAGGAGAAGGGAAAGAGTTATAGTGAGCAAATCCTTGAAAGAAGGTGCACACATTTCTCAACTGTTTTCTCTTACAACTACTTATGGAGGTGAGCCCATGGCTACTCGCACCACAGGTGTAGAGACAGCCAAGCACTGATCTTCTCGTCTCCAGAGCTCTTGAGTTAAGGAGAGCCAAATCCCTTCCCCATGCCCTTATCACCAAGGTGTTACATTACCAAGATGTTACATGTGTTTCTTATAATTCTCCCTTCTCCTTCCCATGAGCTGGTTATATAGTGGTCTGCTATAGTGGTTCTACAGTATAGCTAATATGAAAATCTTTGTCTTTTGATAGGCGAATTTAGTCAGTACAAGATAACTGTGATGTTTTACATACTTGGTTTATTTCATATATTATTTTTTTATTGCTATTTGCTATTCTTTGTTCTTTTTAGTTTTGCCTTTCCTAATTTTCTTCATTTTCTTCCTGTTTTTATTTTTGAAAATATACTGTTATAAAAAAAAAAAAAAACTAGTAGTTTTTGTTTTTAAATTTTTATTTGTTTGTTGCAGTTTTTGGCCAGGGCTGGATTTGAACCCACCACCTCCCGTATATGGGGCTGGTGCCCTACTCCTTGAGCCACAGACACCGCCCTTGTGTTTAAATTTTAATAGATTTAGGGGATGTAAGTGTTTTTTCTTATTATATGGGTGAATTATAGTGGTGGGTAGAGCTACCTTGTCTAGTTCTTTGTCTTCTCACATGACTTAACAAGTGCTCATAAATGGGTAACATGAGTTGTCTGTGACCTCAGGTTGGGTCAGGCCATTGAGGTCTCTTGGGCCAAGAAAAATGAACTTGAGGAGAAAGACAGTGAATTCTGTTTTGTGGATGAGTAGTAAAGAAGCTGGACTAACAGGAGCATACTTACCCTCTGATATGCAGGTAGGAGTCCCATCCTACCTCTGGCCTCCAAGCAAAAGAGAAACAACTCTTTCTCAGTGCACATACTGGAAAAAATTTATCCAACTATTGCACATGTCCCCCCCCCCCCAGGTTTTCTAGGGTCATCAGGCTTAAGCAGATACTCTAAGAACCACAAGTAACAAGTGCACAGCTATACCTCTGTTCAAAGAGCTACCTCTGCCCATCTGGGGCCCATCAAGAAACCTTCAAGTCTGAGCTCTTTGCCATGGGCTGTAGCAGAGACATCTTCTCTCATGAGGCTGATCTGACTGCTCCTGCATGGCACCAGAGTTCAAGGAGAATACATCCTTGCATCTACTCCAGATTGTTAGCAAATATATAGCTTTAGACATACCCTAATCCCCTCAGCCAGGTTGTCAGTTGAGACAGTTGAGTGTGTGTAGGCAAAACAGGATTTTCAGTCCTCTCATCAGTCTGAAAAGGCTGGTTCCATAGCCATTCTGTCTAATTTCCCTTCTTTATTTCCTGTCTCACCCCCTGTCTCTTTCCCAGGAAGTCCTGGGGAGGCACATCTCCTCTTCTCACTGTCCTGAATAACAAACACTAGCAGGAACTATGCCAAGAGGCAGCTCATCCTCTTAAGTTTCCACCACTATTTTTTTTTAAATAGATCACCTATTTGGATTTGTCATATTTTCTGCTTCCATTTTGTGCCAAAATAATAATATCCCAATCTTTTCTCCTCTAAACAGGAGTTTTCTATTTATAAGTTTATTACAGTTTTTGGCCCACACTTGAGCATCAGGCTGCCTTTGGGACTATTGCAGTAGCCAGTCAGGAATGTTGCATGAATTCTCTCTTAGTATGGTGTATGTGGTGTGAGACTTGCCACAGGCACAGTATTGATTTAGGCGTAACATCCCTAGAACCCTTGAAATGAGATAAAAGACTTTGTAGAATCAGTTCTTTCTCTTAACAATACCAAGTCCAATCACCAACAAAAATGTAAGTGCTTAAAAAGTGGTTGCATTTTAAAATAAGAATGTGGTTGAGGTTCTTTTGTATTATAAAACCTGCCAAAAGGGGAAGGTATTTTAAAAATTGAACACTTACTTAAAATGTTCTCACGAGGCCAGTAGCCACTGCTTATTCTAGTGTGCCGAGACTGTGAATAATCACTTTAATCTGGTTCCTTTGTAGAGGAGATTGGCAGTCATGCACCTGATATGCATTAATTTTGCGGTACTAGTACCCCTATTATTATATTTCAAAGAGTAGTTTTTCAACACAGAGACTGATTCTGCAATTTTTTTTCTCTTGTAGTATCCCCCAGTGGCCCTTTGATTTTCTTTCTACCCTCTTGCAAAAGTTACTGTCGCAGACACTATTAAAAAACAACAACAACAACAACGAAAAAAAAACATAGAGAATTTCTGTGCTTCCCAGAAACATCTGTTCTTTGTTTTCAATCTCTTGAAGAAACTGTTATGTAAATGTGTTTAAACTTGTTCTATTTTGTTTACAAAATGCTTTTATGAATGGAAGAGTAGAAAACAGTATCACTTTAAACTGAAGATGGCAATAATCTGTAAGAAGATTATTAGCACCTGCAGCTGCCTGGGTTTCCTCCCCAAGAGTTCTGATGTATTAAAAATTAGGTGATCCCCACGCACAGCAAAGAGTAAGATCCATTGAACTAGAGGAGCAACCTAATTGGCAAACTGAACCTGTGAAGATTATGTTGGTAGTTCAGCCAATGTCTAGGCAGGAAGCAGAATTTGCCTCATTTTTTCAAATGATGGGACTTAAGTGAAGACACTGCTTACTGAGTTCACCAATGGGAGTGTAAGGCTCCCAGAGACCAGCAACAGAAGAAAGCTGTTACCTCCTGTCCCAGGGAGAGCCAGGGTTGTGAGGGAGCTGCTGTCACCTAGGAGAGACAGTGCCATTGCTAGAGTCCTGAGGTAGGGAGAGAGTAGGAAGGAAATACCTCTTCTTCCCTATGATACAATCTGACCTGGCAATGATAATCGACCAACAAGCCCAGGGGATGTCTACCCACAAGGTAAGGCTGGAGATGCAGACTCAGAGTGGGTGAACCTCCTGTGGCACCAGTTGGGCCAGAGAATGGTGTGAAAGGGAATTTGGGAGTCAAACAAAATACAACCAACATAGTTGGCCAACCTTGCTGAAACAAAACCAAATGCTGAAGGTATGGCCAAGTACTAAATATGATTTCTGAATGTAGTAAAGAAAAAAAGAAAGGGTAATTAATTACTCATATAAAGAACCATCTCAATTACAAAAATCACATAAAGTTGGGATCGTTCCAGAAAAATCCAAGGTGTATAACTATGGCAATTTAAATTTTATCCTTCATTTAACATTTATTTTGAAATATTTTTAAAAAGTGTTTTATGCCAGACACTATAATGTATTAGCAGGGAAATGAAAGACATTGCTTTCTATTCTTAAAGATTTAAGGGTCTAGTGGAAAGTACAGACAAGTTAGCAAATGTAATGACATTTGTTATTTTGCCAGCCCAGAGCCATGGGGAGGGGGGCACTCCCACCCCCAAGTTCAGCCATGTGGTTCTGATGTCTACTGGAGGCTCGCTGTGCCCTGCCTGGGCTGGGTACCACACAGGAATCAGAGCTCTCCCTTCTGACCACAGTCAGGGTTCAGCTCCGGGATTTTCCTCTCTTTCCTCTGCTAATATGAGGCTGTGAGAGGACATGTCCAGAGCCACCTGCAGTCTTTTTCCCAGTCTCATGGAGACAGCCAGCCCCTGAGAATGGAGACCTGAGAGAGGATGCAAGAAGGGGGAAATCCTGGTGAGACTGGAGCATCCCTCCTAGAAACCATCTCGGCCCCTGCCACACGAACAATTCATTTCTCTGCTTGACTAAAGCTGGATTGAGCTAGATTTC